TGACGGCAGTAGAATGTCGTAGAATTACTAGAAACTCCAACTGTCTCTTGCTAACATTATTCAGCAGCTTCCTCTTGCAACCTGCTCTTGACAAAATGTCTTCATTTCAGGTGTGACTTGTCCAACATACCTTCAAGATGCGCCTTAAAAATTACAACTCAATTGCTAAATTCTCTTTTTCATACTTGGCGATATTGTCCAATATTCTGATGCATACGTGAGAACTGATATAACATAACAATCCAAATCTCTTAACTTTGTCTCCACATAACAATCCAAATCTCTTAACTTTGTCCCCAGATAAATTTTACTATTTTTCAACATCTCTTCCATTTTCAGAAATGTGTATATTGCCATTCATATTCCTTATCTACTTTGACTATGTATACTCGAATGATCTTTCTCTTTGTAATTACAATACATTCTGTTGTCCCATAGTTAATACTTAAACAATTTTTCTCACTTTTACTAGGAACGTTATAAAAAATATTTTGCAGTCTTTCTTCTGAATCAGCTATTAAAACTGTGTCATTAACATAACGCAAGTTGCTCAAAATCTGTTCGCCAATGATCAGTCTTGATAAGTCTGTAATCTCCTTCAGGATTTTCTCACTGCACAAATTAAACGAGTCAGGTGAAAAGACATAGCCTTTCACCACGCCTCTCTTAATTTGGACGAAATCATTTAATTCATTCTCTTTCTCCACTGCGGCAGTTTGGTCCCAATAAAGGTTTCTTAAAATTCTCAAGTCTGTACCATCAATGTCCAGTTCTTCCAGCATTTTCGTTAACTCCACATGCTTGGCTCTATCAAAAGCTTAAAAAAACGATATTTTATTGAAATAATAAAATTTTCTACATCCACAGTACTATAAATCACATCACTACATTGGCTATGTTATTAATAAGTAATAGTTAGTTTTAGGAATACAAAAGTTTGCCATCAATAAGTCAAAAACCCAGAAAACGAAAAACCTTGTTCTTTGTTATAATAACCAAGACGTATCACCAATTATTTAAATATATACATAAGTAATGCGATCTTGTACAGGTTTTTCCAAAACTTTGCATAGATCACTTGAATTTGAAAATAGGTTATTATGATTTAAGAAAAGTTCTGCCCAAAATTTATTTTGTCTGTCATAACAGATGATCGAAGAAGTACATTTCTACATCTTTTTTAATCTTTCCGATAGTGAATCCTATCATGATTAAAGTAGATTTTCCGATACGAGTTCCAAGCTTGGTAATAAGCTGATTAAGCTTCCGTTTAAATCTGTTATTAATTCACCTGTGTTTTAGCTATTCTCACCAACAGACCCTACCTTCCTTGTGTTTTCACATTAGGTTCAGTGTGAATGTTACAGGTGTTTGGCTACTCAGGCACGGAAACCTCTCATTTTGTAAATTCGTAAAATAATTTTTTTGTGCGTGGATTGAGAGCTGAGATAATAAAAATAAAACAGTCAAGCAATTCAGAACCAGCACTACATCAGATGGTGATTCTTTTGTATCATTTTTCTTGTGTGAGTTAAGATCCTCAAGTTAGAGACTACAGCTTGGTGTCAAAGTTCCATCAGCTGACTATGGTTAACTTTAGTATCATTGTCACTGATCACCTTTTACTAGACAGAAATTTCTGATACAACCAACTCGTTGGTTATCTATTTTACATGATAAGAATGTTAAGGGCTCGAAAAGCATCTTATGGAATATTCTATATATTTTTAAAGAAGTACAAATTGATAACAAGAGTAATTCAAACACAAGTTTTTAGTTATTGTAATTAGTTTTTAAACAACTACGCTATTAAATATTACATGTCATAAATTTAAGATTTTGAGTATACTAAGAAGAAACTATAACGTCTCTTAGTCTATGCCAATAGATCTTGAAACCCCATAATTTGTTACCATCTCGTGGGCTGAGAAACAGTTTTGAACTGATTAAAAAATTGAACTGAATATATTGTGCTTCGTGATATTGAGATTAACTTTATGCCATTTTGTTAACATGGCTACTGTTAGAAGACTTGTAGACATTGGTTTAAGCGAACGATCAACTTATAATGATTAACAGAGAACGTGGCCTAAACCTACTGACGTAACAGTAACACTAGGCTGTTAGCCGCCGGCGGTACTACATCCGTCCTAGCTTGTGTGTGCGCGCGAATAAAATCAGACGACATATCGATCAGAAGACTTTCCACTGTAGGATAGCACGGGAAAAAGACCAGTGTTGGAATGTGGGAGTTATACATGGCTACGTTTCCCACACCTGAGTAAAGGAGTTTCTTCTAGATTTTTAACTCATCCCTACAATCCCAGTTTCAGCACCTGTCAATCATTCCATTCTAGAAACATGGCAAGGTAAGAATACTCTTTTGCTATTAGTTCGCATATACCTTATATAGTGAACGTTCTCTATAATAACATAAGGTACAAATAACACACCAGTATGTTATGTCTGTCGCGTTATTGTAACTTGTTCATATCTCTTAGGCTTAGCTATAATACAATACAAAGGTTTTCAAAGTTACATGTTGAATGTGAATAGCACGCACACCTTGCGTATGTATTTGTAATGATAGAATATAGATGAACATACCCATCACTTCTTACATTTTCTCTAACACAACTGTTTTAAAATTTTGGTTCTTTTCGTGTTGTTATACAGAAGTGTTTTTGCTGTAAATTTTATTGCTGACTTTTATTCCATGTTAAAACTCTTGTATCATGTTAAATTTAATACAGATATGAGTGTTTGCTTTTGATTTCTTATTGAGCTCAATGTATGATAGGGTGATTCTGATTATTATGATTTTCTGTTTCGGTTTGTCTTGTGGTCTATACAAATCCTAGCAAAAAGCTATAATTTCTAAGGTGAATCGAACACTATAGTAATATTAAATATCGTAAAATTCCTCAGACATTGAGTATTTACTTAAATTGTGGACATTCAGAGTGAAAATTCATGTTTTCGCGACTGTCTTGCTCCGCTGTTGTTAAGGTTTATAGTATTTAATAAATGAAAGTCGTTTTATTTAGTAAAGCATCAAAATCAGAAGTTGATCAAAAATATATTATACACAGCTTTTGCTCCACCTGATAAAAGGAATACATACACTTAACATAACATAACTTTGTTATGTCGTGTTCATTATTTTTAAATATTACAGGCTATTAATTTATCACATGGTAGCGTCAGTGACTCAGGAAGAAAAATAAAACGGATCCATTTTCCGTCCCGTTCATTTCGAGCACTTACGTCAGTGAAAACTATTGCTGATGTGTCTTCAGACATCTAGGCTGGGGAAGAGTAAAGAAACTTCCCAGAAACGCAGTCATCCATAATGTTTCATTTTTTTTTCTTCTAGTGAAAATGTAAAGTAAACAGCGCTGAGACGTAATGCATACTAAGATAATAAAGTAAACTGAAAGAAATAAGGATACGAAACGTATTGCCTAGTTCTTATGATCCGAAAAAACTTCAGCAAAAATTATTTTAAAACAACAATTCGCTGAGAAACGGTAATGAAAAATTAATCATAGTAGTTATCTTAAAACATCATATTTATTTTATTAATAAAACACATAAATTCTCCGTGTTTTATATCAGTATGGAAAAAATAATAATGCAGCGTCAGGTGTTTTGTTTCTGGTATGATTGCTTGATCGATTTTCAATATCAGCTGTATTTTTCAGCAAAAAATATACTTTCTTTCTTTATTTTTATTGATAGTTTTTGTCCGCATATACAATAATTTAGAAACCGTAAACTATTATAGGGTGGTCCATCAAGAACGAGAAAGACACACTCTTATTCCATTCAACACAGTTCCTTTACTTCTTAATATCTCTACAAGTTCACTTAACGACGATTTGGTAGATAGGTCTTTGTGAGACCTTCTGATAAACCTCCCAATTGTTCATGTTATACTTGACCCATTATGCTGTCCACGTGCATATCTTCTAAAGTAATATTTCATCAAAAATATCTTTACAATATTTACCTGTGATATTCTTATGGATATCAATTCACACAAGACCTAAAAAGAAAGAAAAGTGACAATGATGTATATATATATATATTACGTGGAGACATACAAATATTACATAGGACATGCAACTATTCCAAGATCTAGTTTTTATCCCGGCCATCCTGTACAAGAGGACTGTTGTCAAAGCATGCTAGATGTTAAAATTATCGCCTTTAACATTGAGAATATATAGTAAAACTTTACATTGTGAGTTCATCATTAACATTGTGTATTTATCTTTTCATTGTTTGTCCTCTAGTGGGGCAACGGTATGTTTATGGACTGACAACGTTAAAATTCAGGGTTCGATTTCCTTCCGGTAGACATAGCGCGGATAGCCCATTGTCCACTGTATGGCTTTGCTTTAAAACAAACAAACAAACCAACAAATAAATTTCCTATTAATTTCAACATCAAAAGAGGAGACAGTTGTGTTTGTATTCCGCTTTATTGTGACAAACAAGAGTAAAAATAATATCCAATACATATTCATATTTTATATCCAACAAGTATGAAAGAGTAATTATCCTTTAATCAGGTACATACCCGTTACGTAGAATGTCTGTTGTTGGCTAAATAACCATAAAAGCTCTTTACGCCAGAAAACGTTTATCTTATCTTTATATCCAAATGAAGAACTGTTAACCACAACTTTCTTATAGTCATCCCTATATGCGATCAAAACTTGTTAACCGGAACTTTGTATAATTCATACTTATAACTAATATAAAATGTGTTTCATCAAAGCTAAATGAACTATTTAACACTATGCAACACATTATCTCTATTCACAATAACTGCTTTGACAGAAACATCCCTGTACTCGAGAATAGTCATAAACATCTAATAATCTGCCTCTGTGCTGTAGGAATCATAAGGGCCCGGCATGGCCAGGTGGTTAGGGAGCCCGACTCGCAATCTGAGGGTCGAGAGTTCGAATCCCCGTCACACCAAGCATGCTCGCCCTTTCAGCCGTGGGGGCGTTATAAGGTGACGGTCAATCCCACTATTCGTTGTTAAAAGAGTAGTCCAAGAGTTGGCGGTGGGCGGTGATGACTAGCTGCCTTTCCTCTAGTCTTACACTGATAAATTAGGGACGGATAGCGCATATAGCTTCGTGTAGCTTGGCGCAAAATTCAAAAACAAAACAAACAAATGAATCATAAGAAATCATTTCCATTTTACTTTTCACGATGAAAGGTTGAACGAAACGTTGTCACGCTTTTTGTGTTTGTGTGTTTACTTTTAAGTACATAGCTACACAATGGGCTATTTGTGGTGTGCTAACGCGGGTATCGAAACCTGATTTTTAGCGTTATAAGTTCTCAGATTTATCGGGGATCCTCATTATTTTATACCTAAAAATAATGAAGATATCTTTCCAAGAGCGTCGACATGCATATTTCTATGTATTTGTTCCTTTAATTTTTAAATGTTTATTTTTTTGCTTACAAAGCGAAATTTATATTGGTGGAAGATCTGGGAAAGTTTGGCTTTACATCCTCTGGGTTATTTCTTGTCTGGAATTGCAATTTTTATCAGTGGTCATTGTGTTGATTTGACAACACAAGCACCTGAATGGTAATCAGTTTTTAGTTTTCACCTTGACAGCACAAATACCTAATTGTTAACTAGTATATTTACTGTAAGTCTTGGCAACACAAGTATAGCTGAATGTTAACCAGTGCTTACTGTGTGGCTTGGCTACACAAACACCTTAATGTTATTCAGTAATTACTGAGTTCACTGACAACACCGGTGTCTTTATGTTAATCAATAATACTGTATTGCATGACAACACAAGTAGCTGAATTAATGTTAACTAGTAGTTATTGTGTGTGTGTGTGGCTTGGGTACACAAATACTGAATGTATTGATTGTAATCAATAGTTACTGTGTGTCTTGACAACACAAGTAAATGAAAATTAACCGATGGTTATACTACATTGTTTACATCATCATTAACGCGGAGGCTATTCAGTAGTTACTCTGTACTTCAAATACGGAAATTATCATAATAATTATATCATAATAATCTATTATAATATCAGCAAAGAACAACTTGATAGGTTTAACAGGTAAACATGCTATATGCCAATGAATCAATACATTTATCTCAGATAGTTGTAACTTTCAATTTATCAAAAGCTTCTCCAATTCATTTGCATACTTTGATAACATATAATGTGCTTGTAATTTCACGTAGAGAGCAGAGTTACTGACCTTATTCGCAACATACCTGAATATCAATGCTAGTAAGAACTAAGGTAAATAACTAAATATTTGACGATCTTGTGCAAAATTAAAATGCTGTTAATTTAGGTTCTCTGCTCTTTTGAACTCATTATGTATGCTGTACATTTGTAAGTGTACTCAAGTTCATGTTTTTGTAATCGCATCATTACCAAATCCAATACATATCAGAAAATAGAACAAGACAATGCTGGACATCTTATCAGCCTGGCAGCAAGCACGTCATTGAAAGTATAAGTTCGGTATAAATGTATGTTGAAAAGACAACGCTATTTATATTAGGAACCTAAATCACGTCCAGTATTAGCAATCTTCCTAAGATGATTCAAATGTCAAGTTATTTTTTAAGCACACTAATGCTCTTTCATAGCACTTTTATGAAGTGTTTGATGCGTGTACTTAAATAGCGTTTGGTATATCCACTTATCTGTTTTTATGGATTTTTTTGGGCCTTGAACATAATGATATGAGGAGGTTGTCAGAGGATTAGAAGCTAAAAATGAACAATGGTTATGTACATTATTTTCATGGTCCTTTTAAGATGAGTTTTCATTTCCGTATATATTTATTTTTTGTAAGTTGCAAAGAAAAAGTTCGATAAAATTAACAGAAACGATATGAAAGCCCATTTAAGATTGATTCTAAATCCTTGAATTCTCAGGTTGAATGTACAGTATTCAGGAAATTAAATGATATATTCAATACTGTACTTTAAGACACACACACAAAAGAAGGGTAAATGATAAATGAACGCTATGTGATGGAAAGCAGATGATGAGGCATAACACATTTTCTTGAACTGTTGATAAGATAATAAACAATAATTCAAATGTATTAGCACTCAAAAGCCAAAAGCTTACAAACTTTCAGTCAGACTTCGAAATCAATGACTGTAATCACAAGAAAGACCGCAAAAAACAACAACAAGCAAATAAAACAAACGGAAGCACAGCAATCCCACTGGAATATATAACTATTCACTCTCTTAATACATCTCCAAGTCCAATAGACTTTTGTATGTTTGATTTGTTCAAACGTGGTATTAGAATAATATGTCTACGTATTTGGAAGGTATGT